GACATTTTAAACACTTTTGTGATTAAATTCTCACTTCCAGAAAAGCTGAATTACTGAATTTTACATATGTCTTTTTGAATTGGAGGAATGTTATTTCACAAATACTTGATGTCTTAACACTGTTTGCTGGAGTTCAGACATGAAAAAGGGGGCTGGACTGAAAATAAGTTTTTATGACAATGAATAGACTGGCTCACATGAAAAACACATTGACTGACTTAATAGTTAAGTGCAAGTCATTTCCTTCTTATTTTGTTGGGGGTGTTTTTAACTTCAAATAAATTGCATTACTGTACCAGTAAAATGTAAATTCCCCCTCAGTTTTGATAAGGACCATCAATACAAGAAAAGAATTACCTTAATGCCCATTGCACTGATGGGTTCTTAGAGACTGTATCTTTACAATGATATGTTAAATTTTTTATCAGTTTCCTTAGTGAGGTCAGCACTATTTATAAGCACTGAAGATACCAGAAAATACAAGAAAGCATGGCAGCAACAATACAGGGAACAGGAGCACTAGAAATTAAGTGGTAATATTATCACTCAGTATTTATAGTTACATTCTCAGAACCCACCTGTTGATAGTGGCTTTTTAATACTCACTTTCTTAACCTCTGAGCCAAGAAGTTACTTAAGCATCTTTGTACTTTCAGTGGGGCTACCTAAAAGCTTAAAATGAGAGATATGACTGAAAGGACTGAGTTCAGGCATAAACAAATAGGAAGTTGTGGGCACAGACTGCTGACAGTGATGAATTACCAACAATGCTAAAGGGAGCTTTGAGCCCCATCCTCCTTGGCTGCTGGGACCACTAAACCAGCACATCCCACACATCCCATGAGCTGAGCAGGGAGGGCTGGAACTGGCTGAGTCCTGTGTTTCCTCACCATCACCTCAAAGGAGTCAGGGCACTGGTGAATATTTGCACTCCTGAAGTGGCACAAGCCAATACTGCCTTTCTTCCTGCAAATTATTAACCTGCTTTTACTGAATTCCTCACTGAATTGTAGCCCTTTTTATAAATGCAAGTTAAGGAGATACAGACAGCTTGTCAGAGACCATGCAGTCAATGCTGACACATCAGCACTATAAATTGTTTCCTAATCCCATACTTACTTAGTTTGCATGGGATCCCCAGAATTTTTTTGTGCAGTTTTTTTGGAAGTCATTATGATATTTTACTGTCTCTTCTAAAGTTGAGAACTTGCATAGAAAGATATTCAAATATAGAGTCTAAACAAAAAAGCCCTTTCTGTCTTCTCCAAACAATTCAGTCAATTGTAATAAAAAACTACTAGTGCAAGTTCTACCTGGAATATGAGTGTAAATATAGACGTGAGACAAGGAGGCACGGTGTTTGTTATGTTAATATGATTTATGGCAGCAAGGTTCAACGCTATCATTATGATAATTTATTGCAGACAACCACTTTCATTTCAACAGTGGTTAAGGCCCAGGTCTGGTACAGATTGGTAAAGTTCCCTGGGCTGGACACCAACAGACTGATGGTTTGGATGATCTTCAAATGCCCATTAGGATTTGGGTGAGCATTCCTTCACCTTAGTGAATCACAGCATTAGCCTTTTCTTTGATTTTGCTGTAACATTGATTTGGGTTCATGCTTGTATCTCAGGCTGTTCCCAGTGGTAATTCAGCAGCTGACTCACAAGTCCTTCCATCATCCCTGCCATGGGGCCAGCAGCCCCTGGGACAGGGGGAAGCAAGGAAGAGCAGGAGCTGTTCCAGCTCTGCCAGCTTAATTGCTGGAGATGTGCCAGAATCTTTAGGCAACTAGAACAGAAGGGCCTTGCTGATCTGACTTATTCTGACAGAAATGAGCCAGGGAGTGCACAGGAAAGCTGCTGTACCTGATCAGGGGGAACCTTCAGCAGGGCAGGAGTGATGGATGGCAGCAACCTCTCCCATCAACACAGGGTAAGCCACAGTTCAAATCATTTTGCTCAGAAGTTGCCCAGTTCAAAACTGTTTCTACAATTGATCTTTTTTGATCCAAGCTAATTTTGAGTCAAATGAGTCAAATGCTGGCTCTCCTGAGAAGGTATGAACCTTAATTCTGCTTTACTGATCTGGAATGTGTTATGTTGGTATAAGAACCTCTAAGCATGTGGATTTAGAAAACACTTTTTGAACTCTGTTCACGTAGCTGAACTGAAGATTCTTTCTCTGGCTTGAAGAAACTAAATGTCCAGCTTGTAATTGAGTACTTTTAAACTGACAGGAATCCCAGCCACAGTTTTGAGATAGTAAAATCCTCACAATTAAACTACACAAACATACCTCAGAAAGCTGTCTAAAATCACATTGCAGTCATTTTTACCTCTAGACACATGAGTAGTCCAGTGACTTCAGTGCAGCTTAAAGGTTACCAAGATTAGGTTTAAGAAGTTTAGCCAACTGTATAAATTGGAATGGAACTCAAATAAATGCAGTAAATATCAACCCTCTTAATTTTAGTGAGCTACAGGAGTTTTGAATGGGAACTCACACAGTAAAACCTGGATGCTGCAACCAGCATTTTTGTCTGTTTGGAATGTCCCACCAATGTACACAGGAGAGTGATATTCTGCTCCTACCCCAAATACACCCTACTACATTAAACCATTTCTCTCGGGATCAAATACACTGTACCAAATTCTACAGTGAAAGCCTGATGCAAACCTCATCTCAGTCTGCAGAAATATTCCAATTGATTTCAGTGGGCTTTGGAATAGGCCTGTATTGACATCCATTCAACCTTACTGAACTGAGCCTTCCTGTGGAGCTGCAGCAGCCAATATGGCCACAACAACTTCAAAACCAAGCGTGAAGGCCACTGCCAGTCAAATAACATCACAGCAAGTAAATGACAGCAGAACGAACTCATTATCATTTATCTAGATTAAAAAACCCCACAAGTTTCTGAGCTCACTACTCTGTTTTCCAGGTGAAGAAAACTTTCAAGTTGCCTTTGATCCCTCATAGATTTTTTCAGTCTGAGTCATAAACTACTTATTCATCACAGGCCACTGAAACAAGTATAAGGTTTTCATGAGGATGATAAGCTTACCACACTAAAAAGATTCACAAAACCTAATATATTGGGGAGCTTTGGCTATCTGCTAGCAACCAACATCCATGTAATTCTTTTCTCTGCCATTAAACTCATATTAAAATCCCACTGACATCTGTAGGATTTGGCATTCTCTCATCACCAATTCAGTTCTTTGCTCACTTAGTGGTCAACACACCCTTTTACAACAGATCATCTCACTTGCTTGAGACATTTGGTTTTCCACATGTAATGCCATAATTTCAAGGAGACTGGTCTAGGAACGAGGATGTCTGTGTAAATATAAAAGACAAAATCTCTTTGCGGGTTTCTTATGTTCCGTATTGGGATGTTATTGTAAGAAATTAGTTGGGAAAACCCCAAAAGAGAATTTATAGGCAAATCCATGGAAAACCTTAATCTGTTTGAACAAAGCAGTTTAGTAAACATCACTGGTAATTTCACTGAGCATTTCCTAAAGTATGCTTAAACACATCTACACTGGAAATAGAGGATGCCACTCATGCCTTTTATAATACCAGAATAGGAGACATTAACCTGGATTTTAATAAGGCATAAAGACGAGAATTGCATAGAATGCTTAAAACTTAAGCAGCAAAATGATGCCCATCATTCAGCAATCCTCTCAAGGAAAGAATTCCCTCTTGCTGCACAGCCTCATTGTTTAATAAAAATCCATCGATACATATGGGAATTCTTTAAGGTAAGCCATTTGCCCCTAAAGCCTTGAATGACTGTGCCTCATGTCCAGCCTCACTCTTCTCACTGGACAGATGATGGCAATTAATTTGTTAAAATCCTGAGTCTCTTTATAAGCCATGAGAAGAGATGGAGTAAACATCAGCAGAGATTGCTGCAGTGCCATGAGCACTTACACCACCCTGGGAACTAGCAAAACGAACACAAGAATCACACTGACTATTAAGTGCCTGCAGTTCAATTCTTTCTTTCAAAATAGTGATGATTTTGTCCCATCCAGTTGCTTTGAAGCACTCAAGAAATCTGATCTACCACCATTAAATACCATCAGGTATATTTGGAACCTATGACTCCTACACATTTCCAAGAGACAACGAAAATAACAACGTAGCCTGTGGTTTCTTCTCTTAAAGACGCTCTCCTTCCCCATTCAGAGATCCAGGCATCCTCATTTTGCTAGAATACATACATGTGTTTTAAAAGTATGCCCTAGTTTGGAGAACTGTTTATAAACCAATCTATTTTCAACCCATTATGCATGCATCCCCCGCTGGAGCGTTTGTAATATGACCTCTGCACACCTGCCAAGAACTGGGATATCAGTTTGATACCCAAAGCATCTCTCTCCCTCCCCCTTCCCTCTGCCTTGCTGGGATCAATGAAGGCACCCGCAGTCGCAGGATACACCTTTTCACACCTGCCCTGAGCCGGGATTTTCGTTCGCAGCCCAAATCCCGCGTCCCCTCCCTTCTTCCACGACATCCCGAGCCACCCGCCGGGCACCGCGGCCCGGGGCAGCCCCTGCCCACCTCCCCGTGCCGCGCAGCCCCCTGACTCCGCCAGCGCTGCCTTGCTGCGCCCACTTTCCCCATCCGCAGCAAGTGGAAACCATCCTCTCCCCGCGCCAGGTGCGCCTCTTAAAAAAAAAAAAAAAAAAAAAAAAAAAAAAAAAAAAGAATGGGGGAGAAAAATAAAAAAACCGGACCCACTTTTTTTTTTTTTTTTTTTTTTTTTTTTTTTTTTTTTTTTTAAACAAAGTGAGCAGCATCCTCTGGAATGCGCTTCCTGAGAAGAAGACAGACCGCGAGGGAAGGAGGGAGGGAAGAGAGGGAGGTCGTGCCTCCCCCCCGCCGCCCCCGCTCCGGGCCGGCCCCGGTCCCACCGCAGAGCGGCCCCGCCGCCGCCGCCGCCCGCGCAGGCACCGCCTCCGCGGCGGAGCGCGCCCGGCCCGCGCCCGTGCGCGCCGCCAGCACAGCCCCGCCGGCCCCCGCAGCACCGGCTGCGGCTCGGGGACATGGCGGGACGCAGCCGGGATTAGGGGAGGAGGGGGAAGCCCCCCGAGGAGCGATGGTACCTCCTGACAGCTAAAGGTGGAGGTAGCGGCGGCCGCAGCCCCGGCGGCGCGGAGCGTGACCTCGATCTGTTTTTGGGACTGCGGGCGGGAGCGGCGCGTCCGATGAGCCGAGGAGGTTAAGGAGCAGGAGGATTTGGGGGTAAGTAAGGGATTGCCCCAAAACCGACAATTCTTTTTTTATTATTATTACCGTTATTCTTTTTTTTTTCGGGCGGGGGGTGGTGGGTAGGATCTATGCAGAACTGTTGTGCCTGGGGGATGCCATCAGCTATGCGTTGCAGCGCAGGTACTTCGCTAACTCTCGGCTGGAGCCTCTCGCTGCCCTTCCACCGCCAACCCGACAAGAAGTTTGGGTCTTATTCTCTTTCCCTTCTTGTTTAAATAAGTTTTAAAATATCGGCGTTCTTAGCGAAGCCGGCCGGCGATGCGCTCAGCCCTCGCTGCTCGCAGGCTCCGGCCGCCCGCCCATGTGATTTAGGGGGACACCCCCCCACACACACACCCCCACCGTCAAACAACCCCGACCCCGCGTTCTCCGGGGGCCGCGGGGGTGGGCGCGGGGGGCGGCGGGTCCATCCCGGCCGGGGAAGGGGCTCCGTGAGCGGGGCAAGCCCGACCCCTGCAGTCGCCTGTCGGAAGCCGCCGCGGCGCGCCGGGATTGCAGCATCCGCGGCGGGGCTGGGGAGCCGCGCTCGGAGCTGCGGGAGCTGCGGGAGGGGCGGGGGTGGCGAGCGCGTTGCAGCGGGTATTAATCTCTTTTCCGCTCGTTCCTGTAGCAGCAGGAGGGGAATCCCCCTCCCTCCGCCGCCTCCCTCCCCCGGCAATGCCGGCACTGCCCCGCTGAGACGTGCAGAGTTTGGGGTTGACTTGCACCTGGCCGCCCTGGAATAGAGACTCTCCGGATCGGATCGGTTGGGGGTTTGTTGTCTTATGTCGTGTTGGGAAATCTGGTGGATTTTTTTCTCGCTCGTGGAGGAAGAGCCCGGTGCAGGCAGTTGGCTTCGTGGTCTTTTTTGGAGGGCGAAGGAAGGGAAGGGATCTCGCTTGAGCCGTGCGGAGAGAGAGCCCGGACATGTGTTGTCAGCACATCTGGGGAATACAGTCTGCAAGTCCGAAAGGAAATTTGCTGGGATCGTTCAAACTGCGATATTGATCTTTGTTATTTTTTTTCGCCGAGGGATGCACTTGGCATGAGAATCGGAGGATGGAAATTGTTTGGGAGGTGCTTTTTCTTCTGCAAGCGAATTTCATCGTCTGCATTTCAGGTACGCAGGACAGAAAGGGCGAGGGAGGGGGGGAAATACCGTACAGGGTTCCCAGGCTTCCCCTTATTAAGGGGCAAGAGGTACAGTTAAATCAAAATTGTGGTTGAAAAGCACATGAATGATGTGTTGTGAGTGAGTCGTGACAGAAATTCACAAACATCACTTCCCTCTCCCTCTTAATTCCAACACCTGTGTTGTAATTATGATACATTGGTTGCAGTGAATAACCACAGTGTACTGATAAGAAAAAAGGGTGATAATTCATAATGTACCTGATTTTGATAATTATTCGCAGCATTGCCGTGATCCCAGAATTTCACAGCTCCTGAAGTTCTTAAACTCGGCTGATCTGCAGATCTTAAAGGGTTTGCGGTTTGTTGATGGACTTGTCATGCTCTGCTGCCACAGTTCAGGGTCTGCAAAGAGAGGGATAACAGTGAAGAATGTGCCTCTGCTTTTAAAGTGAGCTTTACTGTGGCTGTGCTCTGAAAATGGATTTTTTTTTTCCTTTAAAAAAAGCCCCATTCAGACAGCTCTGTGGTGGCTGGGATTTCCACCTTTATTTTAAGCTTGCAAAGATCTCTCTCCCCTCCAGTATGTAGAAGTCAGGTAATTTCAGTTGTCACCAGAGCTTGTCCAATTAATGAATAGGCACAGCCGGGTGTCGAGCATAAAGGGAGTGGAACAATTTATTCTTGGGGAAAACACTCCCTTCGACTGCAGAAGCCCTGGCTCTCTCGTTAATTTGTCATGTTGGTCGTGCTGGAATAAATATGTTGTGGGAGGCAGGAGCGGGGAGGTGGCCAGTTTTCTAGTTTGGGACACTCCAGGGAGCCCCATGGGGATCCAGGCTGCCTGTATCTCCTGCTGTTCCACTTCTCTGCAGGCTGACTCTGCCCTCCAGCCATTGCGTAAGTCTGGAAATGGGAACGCAGGCAACGCAGGCAAGGCACTGTCGGGGAGAGCTCGGGGGTCCTGGTGGACATCTCGATGTCCAGCCTGGAGGTGTGCAGGGGGAGGGAGCTCCAAAGCTCCCCTGGGACCATGCAGAGGTTGGCCTGGGCCATGTCCCCGCCAACAGCACCTGCAGCATCTCACCCTGGCAGTGCCGGGCCCCACTGCGCTTCCTGCAGCACTTCCCAACCCATCCACCCTTACAGCCCTTGACTGGTGACACACCAACACTGGAGGCTCAGCACCTCTGTTCATTTGTATTGCCTGCACCTGCCCCAAAGCTTTTTTATTCCTGAGCAAATAGCTTTGCTGTCTGCTCACGGTGTACGTCAGCCCTGCTTTTATCCCCACAGACTGGCACCATCTGCTACCGGGCACCCGGGTGACACTGGCAGCACCCCAGGCTGACCTTCCACTTGTGCCCATTGGTACCATCAGAATAATTCACTCTCTCACTTTTTAGAACAGCGAAAACCTGCTGCCTCTTGTCATTTAAATCTCACACTTATCTATTTAGCTCAGCGTGATGTGCCACCTGTCCAGTTCTCCTCAAATTAGGCACTTCCTAAAGTGCCACAGTGAGAATGGAAAACTGAAGCTCATCGCTTTCTTGCCCATTCTGACAGTAATATCCTGAGACAGAAAGAAGCTGTCCCGTTCTGTGCAGCTCCTTCTGCCATGCATTCAGCCGTCGGTGTTCCCAGAGCTCCCCCCCTCCTTTCCTCCTCTTCAGACATGGGAGCCCAGGCTTGTGAACCAGTGGGATCAGTCCTGCAGGGGCTCCCATCGCTCTCCATCTCCCTCTAGCACTAATACCTAACACTGTACACACTGATACCATCTCTGCTTGCTTTTTCTCTTATTTTGTTCCTTTTTGGGATGGAATAAAGTGGATAAGTGAATGGTGGGATGCTTCTGCTGCGTGGTTAAAGCTGTGGTTTCAAATAATTTTAACCACACAGAGGATGTGTACATGTTTTAGCCTTTTTTCTTTTTTTTTTCCTTCCTAGGGATTTTTTTTTTCAGAAATCCTTACTGTTTGTCATCTTGGTAAAAAGGATTAAGATCTGTAGATATCTGACTGGCACTAATGCTTTGTATCTTTCTTCTGCTCTCCTTTCTACACTATTTTTTGTAATATATGGGATGTCTGGATTACAGTGCAAGTGAAAGAAGGTGGTGCAAAGCCTGTTAAGGGTTTGCCTCCACACTGGATTCCAGACACTGTGTATTTTTAGCGCTTCAGCACTGGTTATTCATTCAACATGTTACTTAAAAAACCCATTAGTTGAGCTCTAGTGCTGCAAATTACCAGAATGTAAATTAGAGTGTGTGGTAGTATTTAGTTTCTTTTTTTTTTTCCTCATTAAGTCAGTAGTTCCAGCAGTGAAGCCACAAGCCAGATCTCTCGTGCATGGATCTTTCCTGAACATCAGCAAATGCTTGATTCAGGGTCCGTTTAAACCTGCGACAGCCCTCCTACTAATTCCAGTGGTTATTTGGATTAGGGTCTGTTAAGGGCTGCTGTTCAAAGGGATGATGTCAGTCACTGAATTCAACAGACTATTAATTTATCATTACTAATAGACTTATTTATTAAGCAGAGGTTCAATGTTATGTCACGTTGTCTTTTGCTCTGTATTTACATAACATTTAAATATAAATTAAGCTGAATGTAGCACTTGTGCTGTCTTATTTAAAGTAAATAATGAAGTTATACAATTGACTTTTGGTGTCTCACACATGAATTTCTTGGAGATAGTATATGGAAAGTAGTTTAATCTATTAAAAAGAGGTGTGCATATATTTTCAAAATATTTTATACCTTATAATTTTATCAGTCAGCTGTGTGTATGAGAGATTACTTGGTTTGGAAGAAATGATACTGAGATTTAGGATTTTTTTTTTAATTACTGGACCTTGTGTTTGGGAAATAATTTATCTGTGAACATCGTAAACTGAATATTTTTGTTTTCTTGGCATACTGGATTCAGGCTTTTGCTACTTAAAATTGCTTGTTTGAAAAGAAAATGTACTTTCTTTGTGCAGATGCAAACAAGACACAAGAACATGTTGAAGGATCACAAAAACCATTTCTGTCCTTCAGAAAGAAATGAAAACCCTCGTCTACCTTCAAAGTCATATTCATTCCTATGAGTTGTAGTCTCTGAGGAAAAATAGTCATGATTTGTATTATGACTTCTGAGGTTTTGTCCTTTTAATGATATTATTCAGCATGGAAGGAACACAGGGGAGTGGAGGTGAAGATGTCCTGTAGACACAATGCTGGAGTAAGACCTCAGTGGTTGTTGTTCCTTTGAAGATGCAGATAATCATGGCAGAGGGATTACACTGTTTGTATACAAAGAAGATAACTGTTGTTGATACCAGAAGATAACTGGTATGATGTCTAGAATTTCCTTCCTGAGTAATAATACCACTAAAGATTAATTAGCATCAGTGGGGTGGGGTTGTGGAGCCCATAGTGGCAACCACATTTCCTTGCATAGTCATTTGTATGAACCATGAGGGATTTTATTTTTTTTTGTGATTCTAGATATTAACAATCAATTTCAAGTAGAAAGCTAGAATGTTGTTTTCAAGCCTTTGCAGGATACTTGAATTAAATAAGAAAACGAAGCTGTCATGGGCATTGATAAAGAAGGTCTCCAAGTGTATTTTCTGTTAGTCCATCAAAAAAATAATTTATAAAACCTTCATGGTCAACATCTTTATGCCTTCCTATGAATTGATATACTACCTCTTATAGTTTTGGCTTTTGGCTACTAATATGGAAGTGTTTTATTTTTATCCTTTGCCAAGTCCCCAAGTCACGGAGGGGCAAATCCCCTTCACGATGCAACTTCTTTGGCCTGCTTGGCAGCACACAAGTGTCATAAATCATGTATCACGAGCAACTGAGACGGTGTAAAAAAGGCCTTGTCTATCCAGGAATTGCACTGTGTATTGAGCATCCGATGTAGCATCTCCTGGCACTGAGGGCTGGAGGTGGATTTGGAGCATGGTTGCACTTCATTTTCTGTCTTGCTGCTTCTGCGGTCTCTGAGCTCTTATTACCTGGCATAACACAGAGCTGTCCTGTAGGAACTCTAAATTATGCCAGGGCTTGAATTATCTGTTGAGTGATGGTCTGTAAGGTCTGATAACTCTTTTTCCCATAGTATTGCACAGCCTGAGTAATCCTGTAGAAGAGAAGAATATCAAGGCTCTAATGTCCAACATGAGAAGAGTGAATGGTTCATTGTTATGTTTGGACAAAAATGTTGAAACCAAGTTAATTATCCTCACATAGTGTCACAGAAATAGCTTTTTCTGGCACTTTTAAGTAAGAAATGTAATATCCTAGGGGAAGGAATTATTCATAGCACAGATATATATATATATATGAGAGAAGGTGATCACTGGGCATACAGGAGGCGTAACATGTACCTGGTAAGGAAGAGCTTTAATCATTAGGATATTCTTTCCTGCTTTATCCCATCTCCACAACTTCAGGTATGTGGGCAAACCTTCATGCCTGCACAGAGTTTGTTGATGTAACTGAAAATCCACGTGGATTCACTCCCAAGATGGAGGCCATAGGTTGTTTCCAAAGACCCCCAGTTCCTCATCACTCCAATGCTTTCTCACTTCAGAGTCGTTGCCGCCTTTTCAAAAGGTGTGAAGATGTTTCTACTTTAAAATTCCATGGAAATAGCCTCCTGCAAGTGTGTGCTTCACTTTTGTGTGTGTGTCTTGTATTTTTCATCATTTTATTTTTATTGTTGGTTTTACAGCTCGAGCGTGCCCAGATAGGCATTAAAAGTGCCAAAAAAACACACATATTTTTAGCTTATGTAAAGGTAGTAGAAGGCAACGTTTATGAATAGTTTTGCACATATTATGCTGAGCTATTTTCTATCCAATACACTGACAAAAGGAAACTGGTTATTGCTGCTATTCTTTTCCTCGGTAATGTAGATGCCCAGTTTTCAAAGGGACCTCTTCACCTGGTTGTGTTGCCTCATTGTAATGCAGCTGAACCA